AGGGATGTGGGAGGGTGTAAAGGGGTGATCCCTGGGTGTGAGGGGCTGTACATCTGTTAGAGATGTGGGGCAGCTGGAGGGGTGCAGAAGCAGTGGAATGAGGCAAGGGAGCCCATGTATGGTGGAGAGCCAGCACAGTACTGGCTCAGGTGGTGAAGTCTGGCTGTCCTGCTGTGTGTGCTGAGGTGATGTGGTGCTGGACAATGTGTGCATGTGACAGATAGGACACTGGTGTGACAGGCAGCCATCACAGGGTTGCAAAGAAGGTTGGCAGTGAAGCAACAGCAGAAGTGATGGGATATTCAAGTTCCCAATGGGTAACAAACAGGGGTGATGCATTCATAGAGTGAGAAATGTGTGAATGAGAGGCCACGGAAAATAAATCATACACTTAGACATAGAAACCCTAATGTAGAAGCTCACCTTTAAACGCAGACAGTGCTCTTAAAATAATTTGACTTAACTTGCTCCTCACCATTTTGGAAGGTGCTAGAGCAATACCAGTTATCCCTCCTGACAGTAGGCAGTTAAGGCTGAAATTGTTGATGATTTATACATGTTATTTGCTTACTTGCTTCCTTGAAGCTGCTTGACCTGATTTTTGGAAAATTTCAAAACCCATGGGAATTGTAGGTACATAGTTTTTTTTCTGATAAAACAGTCTGCTCTAAGTGATTTAAAAAGAAGATGGAAAAAGCTCATATAGGTAGCAGTTGCTGCTGAAAGTTGTGTTTTTGGCTATGTTGCCAAGCTCTCCTGGCTGAGTGCAGTGCCTTGCATTAAAGCCAAGATAATCAGACCTCTTTCTGATGCCTGTACACTGCAAGGTTTTGTAGTACAATCCTTGTTACATGTGTTTACGCTTTTAATGAAAACTGAAGTTGAAATAGGTCTTTTCCTACTCTTAACCTTTTGTTTGTATGTTTTGCTCCAAGCATTGTCTCTTTCCCCCCTCTGTTCTGTGAGAGCCACAGGCAAAGTAAGGACTGCAGTTTGTGTAGAATTGAAGAGATTTGGTGCTCTCTGAACTTCAATCTTAATTTGTCAGGGGTCCATGCTATCAAATCTGAGTCGTCAGGTTGTGCAAAATTGATGCGTGACAGTTTATCAAATGAAGAAAATGCCCCCTTTGGTTTATAATTTTTCATTTAAAGACATTTTATGAATGAACGTTATGAATTAACATTATGAATTTATAAAATGTTATGAATGAATGTTTTCCATGGTAGCAATACAGAAATATATTAAAAAGTGTGCAGTTAATTAGGCGATTTCTTTTAAAACTGTATTTCACAATTAGAATACTACTACTTTTAACCACCATTTGTGGAAGTTTAGAAGTAAAACACCTTTTGAAAAAAACCCAGTGCATGTCAGCAACAATGAATTGGAACAATATCGTTTTATGGATGTTTCTTTTGCAAACATAAAGTGTATCACAGATATGGTTTTAGGAAGCATGTACTGGCTTACATTTCTAGAGTGTGTGAGTGAGCACACTGAGTCTATGACATAAATCCTTTGAAGAAGTTCAGGCTAACACCAGTAATGTTCCTGTCACAGAATAGCAGAAAACAGTTAAAATTGACCCTGGAGAGTCATCTGGACCTTTCCACTGTTGAAAGGAAGGATAAGCTATAGCTAAACTGTTTCTAGCATCTTTGTCAAGCTCTTAGAAACATGCAGTGACAAAGATGACACTCTCCTTGAGTTCTCTGCAAGTTTCCCCCTCCTCTAGTATCTTACACCTTTCTCACTTAAACCTATATTAAAATGCCCAAAGTTGATCATATATTCTATTTTAATGACAACATTTAAAGATTGAGGATGTAAAACCTTTTGCTTTTAAGTGAACTGAGTAATTTTTTCACTTTCATTAATTTCAGTAATGACTGGGTTTTGGTGAGATCTTCCCGACTTTGCCCTGCTGAAATAGTAGACTCTTCATGTAAATGCTCCATATAGATTCCCAGAATTTTGTGGACATTACTAAAATGTACTAATTTGAAAAAAAAAATCAAACAACCAACACAACACTTTAAAATATGAATCCATGTTGAAAAGTATGAAGCAAAGTGGTGCATCGTAAAGTAAGTCACTGAGACTGTAGTGATATTTCCTTCTCCTTTTTTGCTGTAGAATTATTGGGATATTACCGTAATTCTTTGTAATGTAGTTGTGTCTGATGTTCTTGAGTTTGGGGAAGGATTTACTTGGTTCTGTGATGCCAGATGATGTAAGAAAGTACGTTAAAATAATGCTGCTTCAGAGGATTGCTTTTGCGGGAATGAAATTACTTTTTTTAAACTTTTAAATACAGATAGATCATTGGCTGCTGAACTCTTGTTAATTTATTTTTTTTCCTGCACAAATAAAATATCAGGAGAGTTTTATTGGAGTAGCCATGCAGAATTAGTAATGCCTGTTGTTGCTCAAAAATCCATAGCAAGAAAGTGATGCCTAGACCATACTGGGGGAAATATAAGCTGACTAATGTCTTTACATCAATTATTGCAAGTGGTTTACTCATGAGAGGAAACAATATCTTGCATATCTAAAAGGAGCCTTGTTAGTAGGGGAAACGTTTATTTAGCTTTGTGTTATATCTCAGAGAACTAATCCAAAGTATTTTACAAGTTTTCATTAGATGTGTATTTTTACAACTTACTTCTGGTGTGTGAGCATTGCCTGTAGAAAGATTGCTTTTTTACTTTTATTAATTCCCTTTTCAAAAATTACTGTAAGCACCTAAATGACCTCAGTAAATAAGAAAAATGCTGTATTTTGAAGGAAGGTGGAGAAGACAACTATTTTAGTAGCTGCCTTCATAACCTTTATGACTTTATTCTACAAACACATTTCTTTGTTTTTAAACTTTTATTTTTAAGATTAAGTTCTTAAGAATGAAATAATCAGGTTTCATGAGCAACTGCATTACAATCTGATGTATGTGTGAGGCAAAGGCAGGAATATATAAATTAAGGGAAGAGATTTCTGAATTTGCTGGGGCAGTGTTAAATGGTGAGTAAAATGAGAAAAAAAAATGGGAAAGATTTGATGGTATGTTACAGCAGAAGGTGTACAAAACTTCCCTTAGCCTTGCATAAAGGGCAGGGCTCGCCGCACTCCAATTTTGAGTACAGTTTGAATATGGAGGATTTTTTTTATCTTAAAACTAGCTAATTCTTTTGCTTACATGCAGATGTCAACGATGGGTAGAGAACTGTCGAAGGGCAGATTTAGAAGATAAAACTCCGGATCAACTCAACAAGCATTATAGATTATGCGCTAAACATTTTGAGACTTCTATGATATGTAGAAGTGTAAGTAAAACCAAACATTTGCTTATTGCATCTTGGAAAATGTGATTAACGCTTTTCATCAGATTGCAGCATTTTAATCTTTGATCCTCTGGGTAAGTGGTCGCTGGGAAAATTAATCCCTTAGTCTTAATTGAGATCATTGTCACGGTCCAGGGCACTGCACAGACTCGCAGATGTTGGCACAAAGGATGAGGTGAAAATGAGCAGTCAGGGAAGAGAAAAGCAGAGCTGCTCCTGCTGGTTTAATATGTGTGTGGAGCCCTGGTCTTCTCCGCAGTTCTTTCCTCATGCAAAGCAATGCTCATTTTGTTTGTTGTCACGAGATGTTACAACATTATATAAATTTAATGGGTGTAAGTATATAATTTTGCATACCTCTAATTATTTAAAAATCATTAATGTGCTGTTACTGAAGTATGTACATGGTGTGGTTCAGTTAAATTACACTCTGTTGTGGTCAAGATACTTAAACATTCTTTGCATCTGTCAAGCTTTTGGTTCCTGTTACATTTCATACACCTAGAATCATGATGCTGTTTCTTGTTAATGAAATACCTGCTTTCAATTCTTGATAACATGATAATGCTGACTGAACAGCTTATATAACAGTAGGAAGTGGTGGATTTGGGCCTTTGTATCAAGTTTTAATTGCCAGGCTGAACTTCACACTGATACATAGGCAAAATTAGCCCTTTTGTTATGAAAGATAATTAACATAATTAACATTAACATCAGACTTTGAGCATTTGGTGGCATTACAGGTCAGAGTCTCTAATTAGCCAGCATCCCAGAAACAAAGAAACAAATGAATGTTGGAAGTAATTGTGAACCTGAAATGAAGCTTCATGAAACTCAGTTTGTTTAAAATATATTTCGATCTAATGACAGGTATAAACATAATCAGTTAAAATCCTGTACTTACTGGAAATCAGCCAGTTTAGACAACAGACATTTGTAATATATCCAAATACAAAATTTTACTTGAAATACTTTAACTGTTAGAAATATTTACGTGACCATGTAGAAGTCTTTTCTTCTTCCTGCTCATTTGGCAGATACATTTTTTTTCAATATGATCTTTCATGATAGTGTTTTATGGAATTCTTAAGTCTGCATAAAGAAGCAGTTGAATGTTTTCATTGTGAAAATGGTTATGTGGTTGTTTCTAGAATTGTGAAATAAATTATAAACACCAAAGCTCATAAGTAACAGAAGATTTCCTTTGTGATGCATAGATGTCTTTTTGTCCCGAAAAAAACCCCCCACATAATATTACAGTATTGATTATTGTATTTGAGGTCTTTGATGTGAAGATAACAGAAAAATTGTTCGTGGTTTGGGTTGTGATGGTGGTTTTGGTTTGTTGTTTTTTTTTAATCTGTCTCTTCTCATTTTCAGTGTTCTCTTGCGACCCCAAAGTGCAAATTGCATAGCATAGCTTTGTCTTTGTTTTGAAACATCAGAGAGTGAAAATACTCTTTTAGAAAAAGGAGGCAGGGCATAGCATCTGAAATTCTAGGGGTTTTTTTGTGCACATAATGAACTTCCCGAAGACGTCCCTAACCTAGATGTCTGTCTTCTTACAGAGCCCTTACAGAACAGTTTTACGGGATAATGCTGTGCCAACTATATTTGATCTTACAAGTCACCTGAACAATCCTCACAGCAGACACAGGAAAAGGATAAAAGAGCTGGTAAGTTTTTCATGTAAGATTGTTTTTTTCAATATTGAAACAAGAAAGGCAAGTAAGTTCAAATAATAATATTTAGCACTTGAGTGTTTGCATTTTGTGCATTGCTTGTTCTAGTATCTTTTTGTTGACTGTAATTTAAATGCCCAAATATTATGCTGATAGAAATTTTATCTACTAAGGTAGGTTTAATGAAATAATCTCTAAAATGAAATATTTTGATCCAGAGCAGACTCTGTCATCCAAAGAAAGTGCGTTGCTTCCTTTTGCTTGTTATTACAGTGCTAAGTGAATACAGCTTACACATGGTACTCTGAAATTCTTGCTACGTATTGATTTTGATTTTCAGTTCACTCGTTGAACTTTCAAAGCCAGACATACTTGTTTTAGCTTATTGTTCTGAAAAGATGATCCATGTGTAAAAGCCAAGATCAAGAAATTTTTTGTGGAGTTGCATCTTGTTGGTTTCTCTTTTGTGTCATTTATAAAAAAAGTTCCTCCAGGTCTCTGCGATTATAAGTATACTGAAAATTAAGAGAAATTTAACTCCTAAACTTGCCTTCTGTGTTGGAAAATTACAGACAGTTTCTGAGTATTTCTTCATGAGTTTGATAGAGACTGTTTACTGACTGAAAATAAAGTTAAAAGACAGTTCTGTCTACTGACAGTGCATGTTCATACTGAAACAGAATTATTTAATGGAATCTATTTAGTAATGATCATGAAATACATATTGAACAAAATCCTAATTCAAGTATGGGAACTTTAGTAGTAGTAGCAAACTATTTCCACGTAGTTAGTAGATATGTGCCATGGCAGCAATAAACTACCTTAAAAAACCTTCTCTTGGATCTTATAGCACTCTTTGGTAGATACTAAGACCCTTACAAATATTGTAGATTAGACCGTTTTATCTGATCTTGATGTGTTTTAATATTTTAAGGTCATGTGATAGACATAATCATCAACTTAAGGTTGTCATGTTTGTTTTTTTTAAAGAGTGAAGATGAGATAAGAACACTGAAGCAACAGAAGAGTAAGTGGACAAAATAATTCAGTTCATAAAAATTTGGTTTACTAAGGCTGACGAGGTAATGCAGGAGACATAACTGTAAGTTTATATGTATCAGGAGGATAATTGATTTCCTGCTTGATTCAAACAGCCAGTCTAAACTATTTCCAAAATACTCATTCACTTTTAAACTGGAAGCATTCTTCTTTGGACTTCAGTAACTTAAAGATAATGGGGATAGGAAGAGAAAGCAAATGCTATGTTTTATTCATGTTATCTTGACACTGTATTTTGCATTTTGTAGTTGATGAAACTTTCGAACGGAATCAGGCAACTCAAGAATTGAATGAAAGCAATGAACAAAATACTGTCTCAGAGGGAGGAGGGGAAGAACAAGAGGAAAAACCTGTTCCCTTAACACTGGAAGAAAGAGAAAACAAAGATTACCTTAAATCTCTGTTTGAAATTTTGATCCTAATGGGCAAACAAAATATTCCTTTGGATGGCCATAATGTTGATGAGCTTCCAGAAGGTATTTTTACTTCAGATAACTTTCAGGCTCTACTGGAATATAGAATAAATGCTGGAGATGAAGTTCTGAGGAAACGATTTGAGATGACTGCAGTCAATCTTGAGTATTGTTCAAAAACTCAGCAGAAACAAATGCTTGAGATCTGTGAAAGCTGTGTTAGAGAAGAGACACTGAGGGAAGTAAGAGACTCGCATTTCTTTTCTATTGTCACCGATGAAGTAGTAGACATAGCGGGAGAGGAACATTTGCCAGTATTGGTGAGATTTGTTGACGATTCTCATAATCTAAGAGAAGAATTTATAGGATTTTTACCATATGAGGCTGATCCTGAAATTTTAGCTGTTAAGTTCCACACGACGATCACAGAAAAGTGGGGTCTAAACATGGAATATTGTAGAGGTCAAGCCTACATCGTCTCCAGTGGGTTTGCTTCTAAAATGAAAATTGTGGCCACAAGACTCTTGGAGAAGTACCCACAAGCTGTCTATACGCTGTGTTCCTCGTGTGCCTTAAATATTTGGCTGGCAAAATCCGTTCCTGTTGTTGGTGTTTCCATTGCACTAGGAACAATCGAAGAAGTTTGCTGTCTTTTTAATCAGTCTCCACAATTACTAGTAGAACTGGACAACACAATTTCTGTTCTTTTTCAGAACAATAAGCAGAAGGGTAATGAGTTGAAGGAGATCTGCCGTTCTCAGTGGACTGGTAGACATGATACTTTTGAGGTTTTAGTGGACCTCATACAAGCGTTGGTACTGTGTTTGGATGCAGTAAGCAGCGACTCATCTGTCAGGTGGAACAACTTTACTCTTGGTCGAGCATTTGTACTTTCGAGTGCGTTGACAGATTTTGACTTCATTGTCACTATTGTAATTCTGAAAAACGTTTTGTCTTTTACGAGGGCGTTCGGAAAAAATCTCCAAGGACAAACATCAGATGTGTTCTTCGCAGCTGGCAGCTTAACAGCAGTGTTGCATTCTCTGAACGAAGTGATGGAGAATATTGAAGTTTACCATGAATTTTGGTTTGAGGAAGCAACAAATTTGGCTACAAAACTGGATGTACAAATTAAGCTCCCAGGAAAATTTCGCAGAGCACAACAGGGGAACTTAGACTCTGAGGTAACGTCAGAAAATTACTACAAAGAAATCCTTAGTGTCCCCACAGTGGAACATATTATTCAAGAATTAAAAGATATATTCTCAGAACAACATTTAAAAGCTCTGAAGTGTTTATCGTTGGTGCCCTCAGTCATGGGACAACTAAAATTCACTACATCTGAGGAGCATCACGCTGACATGTACAAAAATGACTTGCCTAATCCAGACACACTTTCTGCTGAGCTTCATTGTTGGAGAATCAAGTGGAAGCACAGAGGAAAAGATATTGAACTTCCATCTACTATTTATGAAGCACTTCACTTGCCTGACATTAAGTTTTTCCCTAATGTATATGCATTGCTTAAAGTCTTATGCATACTTCCAGTGATGAAGGTGGAAAATGAAAAATATGAAATAGGACGAAGGCGCCTAAAGGCATACCTGAAAAACACCTTGACAGAGCAAAGGTCAAGCAACCTAGCTCTGCTGAACATAAACTTTGATATAAAACATGACTTAGATTTAATGGTGGACACCTACATTAAACTCTATCCAGATAAAGTGGAATTTCAAGAAGACTTTATTCCCTCAAACAACTCTGAGGTAACTGAAGATGCTTAATGGACACTTCATTTTTTTAAGCTCTAACCAATTTGTTGAAACAGCTTTTTCTTAGCTAAGTTTCAACGCTGAGGAGAAAAAATGAAATCTATAAAAATACCTGCAATTGTGTTTTCATTTTAAGTCTCAGACTGAAGAAGCTGTGGTCAGTGACCCAATTTATGTTTTGTTAGTCTGCACTAAATGTGTTATGTGAACAAAACCAAGCCTGAAAAAAAGCCTGTGCTCTTAGCAGAGGTGCTTTCTATATCTGATTGGCTTAATTAGGTGCTTGTTTACTTTATTGCATCTTGGGGGGAAAAAAAAAAGTACATTGTGATTGTAGATCTGATGGGGCTGTGTTGGGGTCCAACGTGGGGCACCTGTCTTCACAAAAGAGGTGTCACCATATTAAGATTTAGAGTCTCACACTTACTTGTTAACCATAATCATTAGTGGCAATGGGCCAGGGCCTCCCAAGACTGATCAAGGCTAAAAAGATTCCTACCAAATAGCATTAGGTGGTTAAGACTTGACATTGCCAGAGTTTATCCACCTTTTTTTTTAAAAGTATTTTTCGGGATTAACACATTTAACAACAGCTGTGGCACAATCTAATACATGTCAAACCACTTTGATCCCTTTCTATCTGCTTCAAGGCTACAATCTATAGTAAGCTTTTATTGAAGAAAGGCCAAAAACATCCTTCAAATATCACTGACTATAAACACTTCTGTTCATGGGAAGCAGGAATTTAGTTATGATACTGCAATTGCACTTCATTTTATCTACACAGTGAGCAAAACTGTTTCTAAAGACCATGGACTGGATTCATTAAAGACCAGATCAGAAGCATGGGAGCACTAGCTATCTTTCCTTGACATGGCCATTGGTGAGATGGGTTCTGTTGTTCAGTGGCTCAGACCCGTTCCTCTGGATATAATTGTTGCTTGTGACATTGCTGAAATACGTGATCCCGTTTTTCTCCTTTTCCCTAATCATTTATCTTTCTTCATCCTTGTCACTTTCTTCTGTGTCACTTCTCATGTCCTTATCCATCTTCAGTTGCGTCTTCATTTTTTTGTCCTGTGAAGTTTCTGTTTCTGAATTTGCAAGTAATATGCTCTGGGATACCGTGTCCTGGATGATGAGCTTGTAGACCATGTGAATAATCAGGCAGGACCAAAAGACATGGAGCAGCTGTAGAATTATCAGGAGAGTATTCACGAAGTAGTATCCAAAGAAGGGCTCAAATATCTCCATGGAGTAGTAGTAGGTGTTATAGAGGACTGTGAAGGGGTAAACGACCAGGTGGCTGACAAGGAAAACAAGAGATAAAACAGGGAAATTGCATCCAAGTCAGAGATGGGACAAGGTATATTTTGACGCTTTAAGAGATGGGGAATGCTTAGAACGATTGCCCATAATGTTTGCATACCCGGTCATGGTAACAGAAGGCAAAGCAAACCGATAGTCTGCATTTTATTGGGATCTTTTTAGGGAAATCAAGAAATCTGTTATGGAATACGGGTTGCCAGCTCCATTTACACAAGCGTTGTTGGATAACATTTTTCAAGGGTATATTCTGGACCCCAACAGGGCTGTTACATATTTGCTCATGAATTAGGATAAGAAAAAACCCTCAAAATGTTAAAAAAGTATAATTAATTTCATTCTGTTACTTAGGATTTTATTCTTTTTGAAAACTTTTAAAAACTTTGCTGATGTATATGGATGGCCATAATTTAATTGGCATTTTGGAAGGTGGTTTCGGCTATTGCACGATCCTCGTGCTGTGGGCTGTTCTCGGTGTAAAGTGGATCATTAGTGGTACAGAGGTACGTTTACGGTTTTATTGGAGGAGTCAACCTCTTTAATCTCTCAATGACTGTTTACATTCCTTTGTGTTTGACAAAACTTTTTTTTCTTTAGGCTTTTCACAGGCATGGTAGGAGTATTGAAATTCCTGAAGGATGCTAGAAACTTAAAATTTACTCCACAAGTGTTTAAATCTGTTTGTTCTATCCTGACTCTGACACAAACTCATGCATCTTGTCTGTTTATTTCTAAACTCACCCAGGACAGATGAAAATAATTGTTGTTTGTCTAGAAGTAAGATTGAAAATATTACTGTTATTTTTGGCAAGAATAAAACATTTTTGTACAGTATATTGCAATTGAAAATAAAATGTGAATTGCTTTTTACATAGTATTGAATTTCTTAGTGAAGCTGTGCCTCTTTGAGAATGTGTGTTCATTTGTAAGGTACCTTTTAGTGTTGGCAGTTTTTTCTCCGTGGTTTTTGCAATTCTAGTGAGTGGCATTGTCTTAAGACATGGGAAACTTTGTGTAGTAGCACTTCTGATCTGCATGTTCTGCTGAAGGTTTTTTAAAGTATTTTGAGATACCAGTAAATACAGTGCTTTTAATTGTGCAAATTCTGTCTAACTGAAACAGGCAGAAATAGATTACATTGGAAATGGTTGAAACGTTAAGTTTCGCAGCTATCCTGATGCATGCTGATTTTATGACTTCTATACATGTGTCCTTTTATGTACTATGCAGTTGCAGTGGGAAAGGGCCCCAGCAACAGAAAACTGAATGATTGTACAGACTATGACAAACGCACTTCTTAATGTTTTAATGCAGTCAAACAAGAATAAATTTAAAAAAAAAAAAACCCACAAGCAAACAAAACTAAGCTTTACTGAGTAAGCTTAGACATTAAAGTGGTGATGTACCTCTTAAGAAATGCTTTCAGGAGCTTTTATTTACATTGAAGTAGTAAAAATTCCTCTTAAATAGTGTTATCTTTTCTTTCCACTGCTATTTGTGTATGCTTTCTGGCATGCTTTCCTGGTAATGCAGTTAATCAGTAAAAGGCGATTTAGCTAACAGCTTGCTCTATTCCTCTAAATATATGAAAATAGCCCAAATTTATGTTAATGCTGAAAAGGGCATCTTAAAGTCATATGGAAAACTTTCTTTTTAAAAGAAAATTACGTTTTTTTAATGAAAATAAATAAAAATATCTTTCCCATTCTGGGAATGCCTGAGTTCCCCTATCAAAGACAGCAATGTGAAGTGTTCGACACCTCTGAGATCGAGCCCTGTATCAGTAAAGTCAGGTTGGATAAGCCCAGGCATAATCAGAGAAGGAAAATTGATACCCAATGCCATATAATCGGCAAAAAGAGCTGAAGGCTACTTTCTAACTGTGCAAAGGAGATCTTTTTGACCAATGTACTGAGACAAATTGAAGAAGGGAAATGCAGTAAAACACTCTGTTAGCTATTGAAATGTCTTCATGAGCTCTGCTGAGATGTACAGTTGTGACCGGCGTTGCTAATTAGCTGGCTCCAAGAGCCTTGATCGCTTGGTGTGCTCAATCGTTGTGCTGCCTTTCCCAGAGATGCTGAAATTGTCTGTAATCAATCAAAAGCTCCTTATTTAGCCTATTTGAATTGTCCTGTTGGAGAGGAATGCCTCGTTTTTTAGGCACAGCAGTGCATTGCTTAGGAACCCGTAGCAGGTAGTCTGAATAGAGATAGGAGGATGTGGAGAAGCAAAGGAATAACCGATTGCAATGGTAGGTACCCCTTTAAGAGTTTTGTGTGGAGGAAAACCATTTACTGAAACTTGTAGCAATTCCCATTATATTTCTGGGGGTGCAGAGAAAGGATAGAACTGAAGTAGAACTCAGTTTTATAATTTTTAAAGGGAACATTATTGCTAGAGCAGGCCAGAGATTGAGAGAAGTGTCTAAAAATGGAACAAAGAATCACTGAAGATAAACTTTGATTCAGTTTTGTGGTTTTTTTTTTAAACAGATTACTGAGACAGGGAATTACCAGCTTAAATACCCTGCCAATTCAGGTCAGTATGTATTTCCAAGGTGTATCTGAGGTATTTACCTTGCATTGACCTGGCTCTTTGGCACATTTGATGTAATGAAACAATATGTATAAGTTATATTAATATCACTGCTGAGAAATGAATGTATTTTAGTGAGAGTGGATTTTCCTTAGTAGTTCAGCTGATTGTGCTCTGTGGAAGCGATGCTTGTGTCAATACACAAACTCTGTTTCCTTTTCCCATGCGCAGAATTCCTGTTAGAAGTCACTGTTCTTCAAAAAGCAGCATGTAGCATCGTCTGGCCACAGAAATCCTGAAACTGCTTGTTTGGCTGCCAAGGTTCTGCTGTAAAGAAGCAGAGGACCAGAACCACTTCTTGACTCTGGGGGCAGCTATCCTGCTCCTCCTGTGTCTGTGAAACACTGCAAATCTCAGTTGCCAGAAACATCGCAGTTACTCAAAGAAGATGAAAATAAATCTCTTTACTGAATCTGTTTCAAGAAACAGTTGCTAACCTAGAATAACAATAAGTGTTATCTCAAAGTAGGCTTAACATTCAGTATTTTCCAGACCTCTCATGCTCCCTACTTCCCCTGAAGACAGCAGTTCTTACAAAGAATAGCAGTGTCCCCAACAATTTGCCTGTAAGTAATGAGGCATCAGCAAAAAAAAATGGAGTTGGAAACTGTAGACAGATCTATAGCAATTCCAAAATTTGTGCATGTTCCTTATAAGCTTCCTTCACAATTGAAAAAAAAAAGAAACCGCTGTTAATCAAATTAAATTCAATATGCATGTTCCATAACAATATTTGTACATTTTATTATGGCCATAGTTGTCTGATGTTTCTGTTAATTTATTTTTGTGTTGCAAGTTTGCTTTTTTTCTTAAAACCATGCCTGTGTGTCTTCTGTTTTAGCTGGCAACAGTTATTCCTGGAAGTGTCCTTCAAGGCAAGGCAGGCACTGGTAAAGTTTGTTTAGTGGGACTGCAGAGCGGCACTGCAGCAGTGACGGAGCAGGTGCCTGTGTAGTGCCTGTTCCTCTGTTTTGCAGTGTCCTGAGGTATAATACACCAGTAAAACTGTCTGTGTGACTGCCTATGTGACTTTATAGTAAATGATGGAGAAGAGAAGGCTCCAGGGAGACCTTATAGCAACGTTCCAGTACCTGAAGGGGCTACAGGAAAGCTTGGGAGGGACTTTTTACAAGGGCATGGAGTGATAGGATGAGGTCTAATGGCTTTAAATCAGAAGGGAGTAGATTTAGATTAGACATTATGAAGAAATCCTTTACTGTGAGGGTGGTGAGACACTGGCATAGGTTACCCAGAGAAGCTGTGGATGCCCCCTCCCTGGCAGTGTTCAAGGCCAGGTTGGATGGGGCTTTGAGCAGCCTGGGCTGGTGGGAGGTGTCCCTGCCCATGGCAGGGGTTGGACTGGGAGAGCTTTGAGGTCCCTTCCAACCCAAACAATTCTGTGGTTCTGCAATGCTCTTGTGTTGCA